AAGAGAAAGCTATTTTCTAAAGAAGTTAATGGCTTTATGATATTTGCTAAGAGTTAGCTGGACTCCTGCTATTCAACTAACTTGCCTAGTTCCAGCTGTTCAGGATGTAATTTATCTCATGAAAATTGTGAAACACTATGGAAAATCCTTTAGAGATATACTGTTTGGACAGAATAAAAATTGAGGCATTCTTTTTCAGCACCACTGTTAAAAGAGTGGTAATGGCGTAAAAGGGAGAAAAAACTCAATTCCAAGTCTTCCCACCAGACATATAAACACTTTAGTAAAGAGAAATGAGGCTATGGAGGGCTGAAGAGCAATAAGAACTTCCCCCTTAAAGATTCCAGGTTGGGTAAATAACAGGTTATTTCATTCTGTACGTACCAGAAGACCCTCACTGAATGCTGGAACTTGTCAAGCTCATCCCCTACCCATGACTGCATTACTTTTTCCTCCAGCTTAAATATTACACTTAATACTTATCTTTGCAAGACTAGCTTCTTGTTTTCCATCATGAGTTCTCATCTTAGACTGTTACTCTCTTAGAAAGGCCTTCCTTCCTTGCCTAAAGGCACGCCTCATCCCTAGTGTCATACCAGCCTGGTTTTTTCCTCATGTCATGGATCACCATCTGAAATTACCCTTCTTGTTCTTTTATACATGCTCATGATCATCACAATTATGTCAGCAACATGAAGCTAGAGATCCTGACTTATCTTTCTATCCTCAATTCTTAGCCCAGAGTATATATGTTCAATGACTACATAAGGCTGATGATAGGTATTATATTACATAAATGTGAAAGAATGGGATGAAAATGAAGATTCCATTTACTTCGCTCAAAACCCTTTCCTTTAAGTTCAATGAGAATAAGAAATAAAAGTTTATGACCCATGACAATAAAAACAAATTGGGTTATATTTCTTATGAAATACCCCCACTCCTGCTGTGATGTCCATCTTGCTTCAGTATCAAGCCAAATCAGACCAACTAGAATATTTACAGAGCATAAAAGACTTTGATCATCAAACCAAAGAAACTTCCACCTACTTCCTCATTTATTTCAAATCCACTTCCAGCATAGATCCTAGAGGTAGACAGAGAAACCCAAGAAAGAACACCTCTATTTTATGGCAAAGCATGAAATAATAAAAGTGAAGCAACTTTCAAATCAGGATTCTTAACCTCTAAAGTTTGAGGGCAGAAAAAAAAGTTTAAGTCTCTAGAGATTTAATCTGCCTCTGGACACAATTCCAAGTCATCTACACTAATAAAAGAGAAAGATGCTAATTGACTGTACCTTTGTGCCGCCCACCAGCCAATCAGGAGTGGGTATGCAAACTAATAAAACAAAGATGGCAGATTAATTTGCATACACAAGCTCCAAGCAGCAGGGGGCAGGGCGGGACACAGGTGTTACACACTGCCCCAGCCAGTCTGGGCCTCTGAGCAGTGAGGGAAGGTGGAAAGGTGGATCTGGCCAGAGTGAAGGCCCATTCTTGCACGAATCTTGGTGCATCCGGCCTCTAGTATAAAAATAATGCTTTCATCCTCACTTGCCACAGCCTGCCTCAGTGCTCACATGCCCTGTTGCTAATCCCACAGAAATGCTTCAATTACATGAAGTCCTTTGCCAGATTAGGGCACTGGCTCCTTATCACACTCGGGCTTATGCCAAAGATATAAATTTTGATACAGATACTTTAGCCTTAATGCTTTAAGGCAGGGGTGGGGAATGTCTGGTCCCTGGGCCGAAATCATTAGGTCTGGCCCTGCCAAGGCATTAGGGGTGAGTTAACCAAGTGTTTAACCAAATATAGCATGTTAATTTTTAAACTGATAATTTTGTATGGCCCTCAAGTGATGTTATAAGTATACAAATGGCCCTTTGCAGAAAAAAGGAAAAAGGTTCCCCACCCCTGCTGAAGGTGTAGACCTTTTAGCTGATGCTGTAGCTATTACTATGGGGCCAAAGGGAAGAATAGTGATTACTGACTGGACAGAGTTAGGGAAGTCCCAAAGTAACAAAAGATGGTGTGATCATTGCAAAGTCCATTGACTTAAAAGATAAATACAAAAATATTGGCACTAAATTTGTTCAAGATGTTGCCAATAATAAAAATGAAGAGGCACCAATACTGCTACTGTACTGGCACACTCTGCTGCCAAGGAAGGCTTTGAGAAAATTAGCAAAGGTGCGAATCCAGTGGGAATCAGGTGTGATGTTAGCTGTTGATGCTGTAATTGCTGAACTTAGGAAACAGTCTAAACCTGTGACAACCCTTGAAGAAATTGCTCAGGTTGCTATGATTTCTGCAAATGGAAACAAAGAAATTGGCAACATCATTTCTGATGCAATGAAAAAGGTTGAAAGAAACAGCATCATCACAGTAAAGGATGGAAAAACACTGAATGATGAATTAGAAATTACTGAAGGCATGGAAATTTGATCAAGGTTATATTTCTCCTATTTCTCCATACTTCATTAATACATCAAAAGGTCAGAAATGTGAATTCAACCAGAACCGGTTTGGCTCAGTGGATAGAGCGTCGGCCTGCGGACTCAAGGGTCCCAGGCTCGATTCCGGTCAAGGGCATGTACCTTGGTTTCCGGCACATCCCCAGTGGGGGCTGTGCAGGAGGCAGCTGATCGATGTTTCTGGCTCTCTATCCCTCTCCCTTCCTCTCTGTAAAAAAATCAATAAAATATATTTTTTTAAAAATGTGAATTCCAAGATGCCTACATTCAATTGAGTGGAAAGAAAATTTGCAGAGTTCAGTCCATTGTACCTGCTCTTGAAACTGCCAATGCTCACCATAAGCCCTGGTCATAATTGCTGAAGATGTTGATGGAGAAGCTCTAAGTACACTCATTTGACTAGGCTAAAAGTTCGTCTTCTGGTTGTAGCAGTCAAAGCTCCAGGTTTTGGTGACAACAGAAAGAACCAGCTTGAAGACATGGCTATTGCTACTGGTGGTGCAGTGTTTGGAGAGGAAGAATTAATCCTAAATTTTGAAAATGTTCAGCCTCATGTTAGGAAAGATTGGAGAGGTCACTGTGACCAAAGATGATGCCATGCTCTTGAAAGGAAAAGGTGAGTGACATGGCTCAAATTTTAAAACATATTCAAGAAATCATCCAACAGTTAGCTATCCGAAAAGGAATATGAAAAGGAAAAACTAAATGAATGTCTGGCAAAACTCACAGATGGAGTAGCTGTGCTGAAGTCTGCTGGCACAAGTGATGTGGAAATGAATGAAAAGAAAGAGAGTAACATGCCCTCAATGCTGCACAAGCTGCTGTTGAAGAAGACATTGCTCTGGGAAGGGGGTGTGCCCTGCTTCAGTGCATTCCAGCCTTGGACTCATTAAATCCATGAAAATAAAAAAATTGGTATAGAAATTATTTTTTTAAAAAGCACTCAAAATTCCTGCAATAAACATTGCTAAGAACGCAGGTGTTGAGGGATTGTGGATAGTTGAAAAAGATAATGCAAAGTTCCTCAGAGGGTGGTTATGACACTATGCTTGGAGATTCTGCGAATATGGTATAAAAAAGGAATCATTGATCAAATGAAGATTGTAAGAACTGCTTTATTGGATGGTACCAGAATGGCCTCTCTGTTAACCACAGCAGAAGTTGTAGTCACAGAAATTCCTAAAGAAGAGAAAGACGCTGCAATGGGTGAAATGGGTGGAATAGGAGGTGTATGGGAGGTAGCGTGTTCCAAGCCTAGAACAGTGCTTTACCATCATCAGTGAGAACTGTGAGAGGAAGCTCAAGGTAGTGCTTCAGAGAAGTCCCTTGAAGAAGATGACTGAAGAAAAGGATGGCTAATGTTTAAGAACATCACTATAACCATCAGTTACTGGTTTTAGTTGACAACATATAAGATTTACTGCTGTCATTCATTATCCATGCCTACACATAATTTGTTTTGTATTTTTTTATAAAAAGATATTTGTACTTTCCATATAACTAAGTGTAAGAGCCATGTACCAATATACATCTTTCAACTTAAATCAGAGGCATTTTTACTACTATTCTGTTAAAATGAGGATTTTCATGCTTGCCATCATTCAGTGAAAAGGTAAGCAGCCTTACACATATGTAATAACTTAATCAATAAAAAAAATCTTTAAAAAGTTAAGCAGCCTTTCTGTGGTGAGTAATAATTGTGTACAAAGCAGAGAAATATCCAATTATGTGACAACCTTTGTGTAACAACCATTTTCTTAAAATTAAAAAGAATGCTTCCAACATCAAAAGTAACTATCATCCCTAATAAAATTACCCTCCTAAACCTGGCCTCACAACTAGAAAAGAGTTGTCAAACATCTGACAATTCATAAAACGCCATTATAACTAACTGAATTGAATCACCCTATCAGTCATAAGCATACTATCCCAAAGGTAATTAGGATTACAAACGTTGACACTGAAACCAAAATCCAGCCTTATGGAATAATGTACTGGCCCAGCTTTGCAAGAAAATTGTTTTTCACTGCTTTCCACTAGGTACACTACATGGACCTCCCCTACCCTGCACTCCTCACTGTGCGCGAAGGCACTGTCGCTCAGGACCGAGTTTGGGTCTGTTCCCGTGGGAAAAGGACGCGGCGCTCTTCACGAAGGTGGTAAACGAGTACCAACAGGAGGCTGATGTGAAGCAAAGCATTTCGAGTTCGGTGCCCCCTCCTCCTGCGGGATGGTGGGCAGCAGAATGATGCCTCGCTGACATCAGGGACGCCGGGGCAGTAAGCCCAGGGCAAGGCTCCTGGCCAACCGCCCCATGCCGCAGGGGAGGGTTGGGTGCCGTCCCCGCGAGGGAAGGGAGAGTGTGAGGCCCCACAGCCTGGGCTGTGAGGGGCCTCGCCCACCCGAGCCGCCACCGAGACCTGGGAGGAGCGAAGAGAGACCCTGGACAGGGGTCTGCAAAGCCAAGAGCCACCCGCGCGCCGGAGGAACCCCTCAGCCCAGTCCCCGCCCGGCACCTCACCTCGGCCGGCACGGGCAAGTTCTCCGCCGCCGCCTTCAGCTCCAGCACTGAGTCCGTCTGCCTGTCGGTCAGCGGCGCCGTGGGGTCGGCTCTCCGATCCCAGAGAGCCAGCCTCTCCCGAGCGTCCGATTCAGCCGCTGCCTCAGGCAGCAGCAGCAGCGCCGCCTCCGCCATCGCCGCCGCCCCCGGGGCCCTCAGCAGCAGCGGGGCATTGGGGACCCCGAAGGACTGGCCCGGGCCACTTCCGGGACAGACGGGCTTCCAGCTAAGCACCGGCAGCAGGGCTAGGCGTACGGAGAGGAACAACCTGAACCCGGAAGCACTTCCACAGTGTGTGGGCGGGACTGAGGTCAGGACAGACGTGGCTTTAAACCGGTACAAATATTTCCGGTTGCGATGTAGACGTGGAGGGAGAAGGCTGAAAAGACCCTGACGGAAATAGAAATGCCCCTACCGGAAGTCTTTTCCTCAACATCCATAACTTTATTGTTACGTGTTGCTCACGACAGTTGTAGTAAGTTACTCTGCCGGCAGGGGCTTTCTGTGAGCTCCTGGATGTACTACTGCCTCCGCTCACAGCTGGGTAGTCTGGGTGCAGTGTGTGTACTGTGATTGCCTTGCTGACCTGTTGATAGTTTCGGCTACCTGGAACAAAACCACGAATACAAACATGTCCAACATCCAATAACTCCGCTGTTAGAAAACTAGTTTATGAAAACATAAACATTCAAAGATTTGTGTGCATCAGATATCGTTACTACTACTAACAAATAATCAGAAACAATCAAAATGTCCAACATTGAAAAATTCGAACAATAATTCATGGCACAGACATGTAATTGGAATATTATCCTGCCATTTAAAAAATGTTGTAGAAGGCTTGGGCCAGAGGGACAGGGGGTAAGCTGGAGGGGGCCAGTGAGGAAAAAGGGACATATGCAATACTTTTAGGAATAAAGAATTATTTTTTTTAAATCATGTTGTAGACTTGAACAACAAAAATACAATAGTATTGGATCATAATTTATAATAATATAAATACTCATGAGTCCATACTAATATAAATGATTGAATTAGTAAATTGGGGAGAAGAGACAATCGACCTTAGAAAAATTCCAAAACAATAAATATGGAAAGAATGAGGAAAATAGCAACAATTGTAGCAGGCAATATGTAAGAATGGATGCTAAAATTAGTGGGTGAAAGTGTGAGGAGAAACAGAAACTTGCATTGGACAAATGATCTCCCCAAGATATGTATTAATAGCAAGGGGAGCTATTAGCTTTATAGTGGAAACATCTGGCAGACATCACCTCAACCTAGTAATCAAAGTATACAGCATCATCATAAAACTCCTAACATGACAGATCAACGACACAATATCGCTTTGGTGATATTCTTGCCAAAAATGCAAAACCACATTCTAAATATGAGAAAACACCAGGCAAATTCAAATTGAGGGATGTCCTACAAAATTCACCAGTATTCCTCAAAAGTGTCAAGGTCATAAAAAATTAGGAAAGATTGAGGAACTATTATATACTGGAGATGAGATATGACAATTAGATGCAATGTCGGAACCTGGATTGGATCCTCAAATAGAAAAGGGGAAAACTATAGAATAAAATACAGATATTCCAACAAGGTCTGTAGCTAGGTAATAGTATTATGCCAATGTTAATTTCCAGTTTTGATTATTGCGCACAGTTATCTAAGCACACCTGGACTCTACTACTTTTGCAACTTTTCTGAAGTCAAAAATTACCTCTCAAAGTCAAGAGTTAAAACTCTAATGTTGTAGAAAATATTTATGTTTGGAAAAATTATTGTGATATAATTAAGAATGATAGTGTATGATCCTATTGCCCAAAAAAACACTCCCAAAACATTGACAGATGGTTGGGATTACTAATAGGTAATTTTCTTCTTTTCCTCTTCCTCTGTCTCCTCCTCCTCCTTATTTTGCAATGAATCCTGCACTAAAGAGTAAGATTTTTGTTTTAATTATTCAACCCAGCTTCAGAGTCTTGTTGCTCCATCACATCAATCCACCACTATTTGCTAAAGAAAGTCATCTGTAGATATGTACAGATATGTACATCTATCTGTTTAAGTACCTAAAACATACTTTCTCTTCTTCAGATCAGACTGACCTCTAGTTCGAAAAATCTCAGAAATGAAGTTAATCCTCCTGAGTTTTGTGATGACAAACATCATCCTTCAACAGCCAAATATAGACACACTCCCTCCCAAATGCATTTCCATTGCAGATTTTTCCAAATCCGTGATCAATCTACTCTCTTCTAAAATTGTCTAATTCCTTAAAATATTTTTTACCAACTGGTGATTCATGATGCTAAAAGTTTGCAATGCAGGTCATGGTATCCCTGGAAAAGATTTGTGCCAATGCTGAATGTTTAATCAGCTACTGGTACTGTGAGGTGAAATTGTTACCGGGGAACCCCCGGGGTGGGGGGCTTGGGCTGCCTGTCGCAATGTCCAATAATGAAGGCAATGTCCAATAATGAAGGCAGGGTTGAATCATATAACGCGATTATTGAGAAGGCCAGCCAACCGAGAAGACAGGGAGCTTACAAGCATCCAAAACCTGTCTTATAGCAAGGTGCAAGGGACAGGATTATATTGGGGAAATGGACTAGGGTGAGGTTGGGAAAGGAATACAATTGCATTGGTCCTGGAGGCCAGCAGAATTCAACTATTGCTCTTGGTTTTTAAGTGATGAGATGATGTCTTGGCTCCTGGTAGGGTCGGCCTGACCATGCTTAACAGCTCTGCTTGCTTGCTGGGTATAATGTACATTGTCCGCAGCTGAATCACATCCTCAATCACTTTGCTTGGGATCAAAGGGAGTATGCAGGTGCACCAGCCTAAGAAATGAAACTCAGAAAAACTTAACCCTCTATTCCCATAAGTATATGTACTCTAGAATTTCAAATTGATATGATTATCTTTCAGATTAATTGAGGCACTCTATATACCAGCTTATAAAACTCCCTATCAAATGAGAGAAGAGGAAGGTAGATAATGCAACACAATAGTGCCTGGATTATTCTTGAAGAATTGAGGGAGCTAAGGAAGAACAGCTGTGCCTAGTCACTGGCTGGCTCTGTAGGGGTGGGGACGCAACGGGAGTAGTGAAACAGAGTAGTAACAGCTTTCATGGGGTGTTTTAATTTTGCAGAATACTAGCATAGAAATTATATACATTCAATATATATCTATTTTAATTGATTTCAGAGAGGAAGGGAGAGGGGAAGATGGAAACATCAATGATGAGAGAGAAGTATTGATCAGCTGCCTCCTGCACACCCCACACTGGGGATCGAGCCCATGACCGGGAATCGAACTGTGACCTCCTGGTTCATTGGTCAATGCTCAACCACTGAGCCACTCAGGCTGGGCATAAGTTATATACATTTAAACAATGTATTGGTTGCTCAAAATATAGTAGAAACTGAATTTTCTGCTTCAGACTCTAGTGCTCTTTTCTGTATGGATAAATATTATCTATATTAACAAATATTAACCCCCCCACCAAAGAAGTACAAATTTCCTACAATGGACCCATGTTTATACTCTGTATTACAAGCCAAATCTCTTCCTGTTACCAGCTGGTAATTAGCTTATTCCCAGAACCACTAGAGGACATGACAAATACAGTTGCAGTTTTAATTTTCTGCTATAATTTTTTTAAATAAATCTTTATTGTTCAGATTATTACAGATGTTCCTCTTTTTTCCCCCCCATAGCTCCCCTCCACCCAGTTCCCACCCCACCCTATGCCCTTACCCTCCCCATTATCCTCATCCATAAGTGTAAGATTTTTGTCCAATCTCTTCCCACACCCCCCACGCTCCCTTCCCCCCGCCCTGAGAATTGTCAGTCCACTCCTGTTCTTTGCCCCTGATTCTATTATATTCACCAGTTTATTCTGTTCATCAGATTATTTATTCACTTGATTTTTAGATTCACTTGTTGATATGTATTTGTTGTCACTTTGTTGCTCATAATTTTTATCTTTACCTTTTTCTTCCTCTTCTTAGAGAATACCCTTCAGCATTTCATATAATACTGGTTTGGTGATGATGAACTCCTTTAGTTTTTTCTTTATCTGACTTTCAATTCTGAATGATAGCTTTGCTGGGTAGAGTAATCTTGGTTGTAGATTCTTGCAATTCATCATTTTGAATATTTCTTGACATTCCCTTCTGGCCTGCATAGTTTCTGTTGAGAAATCAGCTGACAGTCCTATGGGTACTCCCTTGTAGGTAACTGTTTTTCTCTTGCTGCTTTTAAAATTCTTTGTCTTTTGCCCTGGGCATTTTAATTATGATGTGTCTTGTTGTGGTCTGCTTTGGATGCCTCTTGTTTGGGGTTCTCTGCACTTCCTGGACTTGTAAGTCTATTTCTTTCACCAGGTAGGGGAAGTTTTCTGTCATTATTTCTTTGAAATAATGAAATAGGTTTCAATATCTTGCTCTCTCTCATCTTCTGTCACCCCCATAATTTGGATATTGATACACCTGATGTTGTCCCAGAGGCTCCTTACACTATCTTGATATTTTTTGGATTCTTTTTTAGGTTTCTTGAAGATTCTTGAGTAGCCTTATAACCACAGTTTTGAACTTTTATCCAGTATTTTGCTTTCATCCATTTCTTTCATTTGTGACATGTTTCTTTGTTTCCGCATTTGGCTGCTTCCCTGTGTTTGTTTCTATGTACAGTGGGGCCTTGACTTACGAGTTTAATTTGTTCTGACACCAAGCTTGTTAAGGAGCTCATTAAGGAGCTCGTTAACTCAAATTACTCTATCAACTCAATGCAAAAAATCGGCCGAGACAGCTGGTATCTCAAAAACTTATTAGTCAGGACACTTGTAAGTCAAGGCCCCACTGTACTGGGTAGCTGCTAAGTCTCCTTGAGTTGATAGAATGGCCTTGTGTGGTTGGTGTCCTATAGGGCCCAGTGTCTCAGCCTCTCTAGTCACCGCAGGTGGACGCTCTTGGTGCACCCCTTTGTGGGCTGTGTGCATAGTCTTGTTGTAGTTAAGCCTTGATTGCTGTTGGTATCACTGGGAGGAATTGACCTCCAGGCCAATTGGCTGTGATGACCAGCTGTGTCTACACTGGAAGATCTGTTGCAAAGGAGACACCCTTATGGGGCAGGACTTGCTTCAGTAGGGCTTTGGTGCTCACTGAGTCTGCTGCTTGAGTGTGTCTCTTATGGATGTGAGGAGTTGTAATCCAGCCCTAGCTGGTTTGGCTCAGTGGATAGAGCGTTGGCCTGTGGACTGATGGGTCCCTG